TGCCTCTATCCTTTCATTTCTGCTTTCTCATTTACCAAATGTTAGCATACTTGTTAATATTCCTGAGAAGTCAGGCCGGTGTGGCGGAGCATTAATATAAAATTTTTAAAAAATAGAGTTCCTGTTCTACTTCAGTTACTCAGTAAATATTTGGTAATCTATCTTGATATGTTCCTGTCTGTCAAGGGCTGTTGCCTGCTTGATGCTTCTGCTTGAAAAGCAGACAGTGGCACCAAGGAAGGTGCCTTCCTGCAAATTTAAATCCCTTCTTTCTTCATTATTCATGGGGCTGCAGCTTCACGTGTTTTGAAGTTCCGCAGCTACAGGAGTAATTACAAGCCACGTGTGGCATTTACTTTGGTGCAAAGGTATACTAATGCTGAAGGCTGTAGGGAAAGGTGGCAACGCTAAGTGACCTAAGCGCATGAACAAGCAGCATATCTCTCATTCATGTTTTAATTCAACAGACATAAAGAAAAATCTTGTCCTAATTGATTATCTACTTATCTTTGATCCTGTTGAATGATCCTGTGATGTCATTACACAAACAGGGTAAGATCTTCCTAAAATCTGTCATGTCCATAGGACCTTTGGAGACTTTACACAAAGTCATCAAGAACAGATCCATCTGTTATTAGCCATGATAGGGACACTGCTTACCTGTTCTTAGAGACAAATGAGAGAACCAGTGGAGATCCAGGTTTAAGTACCCACTAATTGATAAAAAAAATCATTGAGTTACCTTGGAAAGTCAGTTATCTAAGTTGTTTTGAGGATCAAGAGAAGGGGAGACATCTTATGCTGCTTATACTCACTGGAAGAAAGGTAGAGAGTAAAAGTGAATATAAGTAAATAAATCAATGCTGAACAAAACATTTCATCTAAAAGGACTTTGATCATTCTCATTCAATTTGACTTGAAGGAAATCTCCTTTGAAAGGATGTGCAGAGGAACAGCAATTTCAGAGAAAGTCCCATGGGTGAGCATCAGGATTGCCATATTTACCTTACAATGAGAGGTGACTGAGGGACATGTGGCATGACTTGTCTTTCACAGCACATCCATCAGCTTTCCTAATTTATAATAATAATAATAATAATAATAATCATCATCATCATCATCATCATCATCATCATCATCACCATCACCATCATCACCACCACCATCATCTCAGAACTGCAGAGCTGGAAGAGACCTATGGATTTCGAGTTCAGCCCCTGTTAGGGAGGCACACCGGGGAATCTAACTCCCAGCCTCTAGTTCCGCATCCAGATACCTAAACCACCGAACAATCCTGTATTGCAATTGAAGTCCAAAAGAAGCCTTATAAGGTAGAATCTCCCTCGTAGTTTTTGTAGACCAGGGAGACTGCCCAGCCAAGGAGGTTGCAAAGTGATACACAGATGTGTAGGAGGAAGTGCAAATGCAGTACCATTGACCATTGCACAATGCTCTGTTAAGCTAAAAATGTAATGGAAATAAATTATAAAGACAGGGAGGCAGCAAAATAAAACCTCTTTCACCAAGAAAGACGACTTCTGGGAAATCAAATAATAAATTATGGCTTCCCCTTATTTCCCAAGGATGGCCACAGTATGAACATCCCTCATACCTGTTACATCGAAGAGGTATATTATAAGTATCTGCAGTAGAAACAAAATGTACCAGCAATGGCCCCTCAAAAATGTAATCTGCGGGACACCCCAGGGAACAAGCTGAACCCTGAAGAATGATAGTGAGTGCTGTCTCAAGATTTATTTTACTGAGAAACATTGTAAGTTTCCCTCCACTGCTTGTCTTCTTATTCCTCTAGAAAGATAAAGTTAAAAACACTTGGCAGAATTGTTGCTAAAATGTATTTACCATGGCTTGGTCACTGCTTCCCCATCACCACCACTATGATACCCTTGAATGACATCAGGTAGAGAATACTGTGGAGGGGAAAAATGGTGGTCAGGAGATTGCCAACACAGTTCCTGTTGTTGAAATTTGCAAATGCTGTACAACCCACTAAGCTGAACTGGGAGAAATAACAAAATTGTGCTACAGCCACTGCTAACAAAGAGGCCTCCCTCTTAGAAACAATTCAAACATCTCTAAAATGCAAAAAAAATCAGTATTGTTAAATGCAAAAATATATTAAAGAAAATGACTTCCCCAGGAAAATCATGCTTTCAGCTTTCAGCATGATTTTGGTAATAAGCCATCAGCTCCTCTGCCCACAATTAGTATGGGGAATTTCAAAAGGTCATTTACTGTATGTACAGCTGTTGTCAGATCAAATAACTGATGCCTGACTTTCCCTAGGAGTCCTATAGAATGTTATAGGTCTCTAAGGAAAAAAAATCAGAAGCCAGTGTTCATCACAGCTGCCATGATCATAAAAAAGGGTTAACTCCAGAATGAACAATCACTGTCAATCATATCCATCCGAGTATCAAGATATAAATCTTTTCACTGTTGCAATAATTCTGGGCAACATGAATGTGTCTAATTCTACAAGCTTGATTTATCTATATTGCTTTTTTGTTCCACATACACAAAATACGTCAAAGAGTCATAAGTTAAAATGTATTGAAATCTGTCTCACAGTTGTGAGAAAAACTGTAGGTACAAATGCTTAATCAAAATCTTTATAAAATACAAGAGCATATATTTTAAGCATTAAAAAGAATAAGAAGGCTTCAATTACATTTAAAAATGCAAGCACTTATAGCCTAACAAGGCACATTTAAAAACAAAAAACAGAGAATACATCTCTAAAAATATTAGTTCTTAAAAATAAAAAGGCATTAAAACTTTAAGTAACCTTTAACCTTACTTTAAAAGCATAGAAAAAAATATCAAAGCTATTAAAAGTAAAACTATATTAAAGAAAATGAATTTTTTGGGCCACTAAGCTTATTTATAATGCACACAGAAAAATAATATATTTTCTAAGTGCTCACCCAGTCATCTATGAATTAAAATCTATAGAGTAAAATGTGTTATGTTTGTTGTTCTTTGATGTCTGGAACCCAGAATGGTGTGGAGTTGTTATGATATGATGAATGTCTCTGTGAGTTATCTCCCTATATTTATAATTCTTACCAATTGTTTTCTTTTCCTCCTAACTATAGGCAAACCTTATCTACAGGTATGGGAAATCGAAGAGACTGAAAAACCAGGAACAATTTTTTACAGGAATTTGAATTGTATCAGTGCAGTTTGCAACTTCAGAGGTTTGTAATTTAATATCTGGCAAGTTGTCATTTTACTGATAACATTTTATTGATTTTTTAAAAATTGCAGAACTTTTACAGACATAGTCTTATGGCATCAAAGATTTGAAACTCTAAATTCTTAAAAGACCTGAATATTGTAATACAATGGCATTGAAACTACAAGAGTACCGACTATTAGACATGCATACATCACTTCTAAGTTGCAATAAAAACATCATTCAGTTGTTAGGATGATTCATTCATCTTGCTAAGCTGGAGCTGGCTAATTGTTTGGGTGGAAACAATAGTAAACTATTTCCAAGTCACACTTTTAAACATACTTTCATTTTCAGGTCAGCTTTTTCAGCACCAGCTTAACTATTTTAACACCTTATATATCCAAAAATTTAAATACTGACACTGTGAAACAAATAAATAAAAGAGGGGAGACCTGCCATATTTAACCTTTGCTTTAGAGTTTCATCTGGTTGAACATCACTAGAAAACAGTCTGTAGGATCAAGTGGGCCTTATATGACTTTTCTCATTATAGTACCTGTGGCAGCTTCAGCATGATTATCATGATGAGTTTTCTAGTATCACACACATAAACATATATTTCAGGAAATGGCTCAGTGGTACTAGGCATACTTCCAGGTCTAAAGGTCTGAGCTTTTCTTACTAAAATTCTCTATAGAACTCAAAGTGTAGAATTCATACCTTATTCCCAGTGTCACAGGGATGGAAATTGGCATATTGAGTAAGGCTGCCCTGTTGCAGTGATATTACAGCAAATTCTTTGTGTGCCATAAAGTTGTTCAGATTGGTAAAACTGAATAACAAACACTCTGCAAATAGTTTTTCTGCATCTCAGTATGTTTACTTACATTTTTCAGTATTATTGCAACCACTCACGACAATGTTCTTAGATCATCACTAAATCGCAAATCTATCTCTAGGACCAACGTGTTCCACAAGTGGGTGGATCGTCTTTATTCGTACAAGTCTAAAACTTCAGTCAGAAAATTACAAAATGCAAATCCGTCAGCTATATTATGGACAGAAATCTATAAATCATAAACAGTTGACTACTGAATCTATTTAAAAATACATCACATTAGACTGATTAAACACCGTCTTGTTTCTGCATTGTAGTAACTGCTCATTTGAGACAATGCCAACTAATCTGTACTCTTTTTCTAATTATAAAATGGTAGCTTAATCAAAAGCAGTATCATTCATGAGACGTCAGGAACAGACCACATAATATAGCAATGGGCAAAGGATAGCCAACTGTGATCCTGTAACAGATAACCCTCATTTTTACCTGTCACTGCCATGAGGTCTAAGTAGTATGAGTAACGGTGAGGTACAATTGAAGTTGCAGTCCAAAACCAACTGGAGAGCCACAGTTGCTCAGGCGTTCTAATTGTGAATGGGAAATCTGAAGCTTTGGATTTCCTGAAGTTCCTACAGCAATTCCTGGCAAATTGGTTTCCCCCCACATGTGAAGACAATGGAATTCCACTTCCCCCCATTGTTCCAGTTCAATACAAGTTGATCCAGTAATTTTTAAATTAACTAACACCATCTTGTTTGAATTAAAAGCCCTATTTACCCTTGAGAATACTTTCCTATGAACCCTCTCTAGAAACCTCTCTAGAACCTATTGACTTTATGGTTGCCAGGTCTCCAGCAGACTCAGGTTGCCTGAGTTTCAGTTTGGATAGAAGGCTTATGATATCACAGGTTAGGTCTTGTGATGTCATGTAGCAGCTAGGCAGAGTGATGTGGCCCAGTGGTAAAGGGGAAGAACTGGAAATGTGAGATCTCATAGATATGGAAAAACTCAATGTCAAAGTAAGTTCCTTTTTTGCAGTAGAGTGATTCCAATTCTTCCAGTTCATTATCCTATCAGTCCTCTGGATTGTGAAGATAGATGTAGGGTCTAATATTTTAGGACTTTCAAGCTTGAGAAAAGATTGTGGTATACTCCTGAGTACACACGACTAAACGACTAAACAAAAAACAATACTCCTGAGTAGTGAGATGATCTAGGGTAGTGAAACCAGATTGAGTTTGCTTTGAATGACACTGTTTGAAATATCTTTGTAATAAGAATGTGATAAGTCCTCACAGTTTCTCATTCTCTGTGATTTTCCCCAGTCTCGTGATGCCAAGATTCCCCACCAAGATATCTCTCTGCATCATTAATATTTTCCAGCTTCACAAAAACAAGATCTAATCTGATTTTCCCCTCTGTCTTCTTCATTTTTCATTGTAGCTGCATTCTAGAAACTGCCAAATTTTGTAGAAAGAATCTCATGCAGAAATCTCACTGCAAGGAGAAAGGAATGAATATGTGTCTCCGTGTTACAATTTATTTCTATATGGAAACAAGACTGTGAGATTCACATCTCAAGCTTGCAATATGTTCTAAAGAAGAGTGGGGAAAGTGTGGCTCTCGAGTTGTTTTTGCACTCTTTACACAGCCACACCCTCTGACCCTCCTACCCAAAGCTGCCTGGTGTATTGCCAGTCCTGGCAGTCTCCAGGGTCAGCGATTCACCTTTTCAGTTGGTGGCAGGATCCCCCTACACTATCCAACATGCCAAAATATCAGTTTTTCAAAACTGGAAGTGGGCTTCCACCTCCTTTCATCATTATTTATTTATTTATTTATTTATTTATTTATTTAATATGCCACCCACACTGTCCAAAGGTCTCTGGGTGGCTTACAACAATTTAAATACAGTAAAAAGATAAAAAGATAAAACAATTAAAATGCAATTAAAATACACTGCTCTAAAAATTGCCATCAGGACCCACAGTTGATATTATTTCAATTAAAAACCTTCTGAAACAGGAAGGTTTTGACCTGGCACCAGCGTCGGCACCAGATGAATCTCAGTCAGGAGGGCATTCCATAGTCCAGGGACAGCTGCCAAAAAGGCTCTTTGTCTTCAAGCCATCATCTCTTTCAAAAGGGCCCCCTGGATAGATCTTAATCGCTGGGTAGGTTCATATGGAAGAAGGCAGTCCTTCAGGTATCCAGGACTCAAGCTGTTTAGGGCTTTATATGTCAAAACAAGCACTTTGAATTGGGCCCGGGCAGCGACTGGCAGTCAATGTAATTTAAACAGAATCAGCCTGATGGGTTCCCTAGTGACCCCACCACTCACCAACCGCACAGCTCAATTCTGAACCAGTTGCAGTTGCCAGACTGTCTTCAAAGGCAGCCCCACGTACAGTGCATTGCAGTAATCTGTAATGGGTTGTTACCAGTGCATGCATAACTGTCTTGATACTCTTGTAATCCAGGTAGGGCCTTAGCTGGTATAATTTCCACCGAGTCTACCTGGGCTTCCAGAGTTAGACCGGGGTCCAGGAGCACCCCCAGGCTGTGGACTCTGTCCCTTAGGGGAAGTGCAACCCCATTCAGGGCAGGGAAATGGCCCTCCAACCTGTCTGGTGAAGCACCCACTAACAGCACTTCTGTCTTGTCTGGATTGAGTTTCAATTTATTAACCCTCATCCAGTCTGTTATCAGGTCCAGACACGAGTTCAGCACAGAAACTGCCTCACCTAGATTGGTGGAAAATGAGAGGGAGAGCAGAGTGTCGTCAGCATATTGCTGACTCCTCAGCCCAAACCTCCTGATGACCTCTCCCAGCGGTTTCATGTAGATGTCAAACAGCACGGGGGATAGTATCGAGCCCTGAGGAACCCCATGACATAAACACCATGGGGCAGAGCAACTGTACCGTATGGTCTATACTGGATACCAGTACTGAATCTTGGCCCCTGAACCTAATGCTGATTTGTGAAGTTTAGACAAAGCAAATGCAGTTTGATGAGCAGATAGGGATTCTTCAACCTTAATCCCAAGGGAAACAGTTTGGAACTCCACCCCTGCCTGATCTGCACCTAGTCCAGGTAAGTCTCAGCTCCTAACCACTTCTCTGCTTTGGTTGCAATATTCAAAAAGTGCTTCTTTCTTCAGCACACCACGACTTGAGCAGGAGTCTCAGATCTCAGCCTTTGCAAGTAAATTCTCCACAATTTGATGTTCTTCTGTTGAGATGCTAAGGCCCCATTATTGCGATATATTTCATTCATAAGAATCAAAACAGCCAAACTTAGAAAAATATGTCTGCAGCAATTTGTGCAGTTAAGATGAAATACCTGCTACCACTTATTCTCCACAGAAGTTGATAAAATCCATGCTCTCGAGCGAATCATCTTTGTGAATGAGGCCGAAGTGCCTGCTGAACAGTGAGCCAACCTGGTGTGAGGGAGAGAATGAGGGACTATGACGCAAGGGACCTAGGTTCAAAATCCCATTCTGCTATGGAACTTCACCAGGGAGGGGGCACTGGCAAAATCACTCCTTTAATATCTCACATACCTTGAAACCTTATTAGGATCACTGTAAGTAACAACAACAAACAACAAACCTGCTGAACAGAAACAAACCAGTGACAAGGGAGTGGGTATGAACATATTAAATGAGAGTTGAAAGAAAGCACAAATAAAAATGGGAAGGATGTTTTGTTTCCCTCAACCTTACCTCTATGTTTTAGATTAATTTGAAGTGTTCTCTGTAAACTTCCTGCATAGTTTATTGGTATGATGTGAACAGAACTCTTCCCATTTCCGCCTGACCTTGTGATCACAACTAAAAACAAACAAGCATATTTACCCATTCTGCACCAGAGAAAATTTGCAGTCCCATTTGAAATGATGATTAAGCAAGCATGAAGACTGTTTTTTTGACTGATAACGGACTGGGGGAACTCTTTCATCTGCATATCATATAAAATTGCTGTGCTAAGCTAAAAGGCTAAGGAAGAATGAGAAACCCTTCTTCTGGAATTTATAAATATTATCTTTTTAATAAAAAAAATAGCAATGTTGTTCTCCTGCATCCACAGTAGGGATTCTATCAGCTCAAACTGTTGTGCTGGCTTTTTTGTTGCTTCTTGTTCTCTTTTGTTGCTCTGCTACAAAGCCATGTCTGAAATAGTCAATGTATACAATTAAGGGCACCTTGCATTTTCTCTCTTACATTGTTTTGGAGTTTGTATCAAAGGCTCCTAGTCTTCCAAATGTCTCTATCACACGAATCTAGAAAAGCATTTATGTTCATACTGAATAGAAGACAAGGGGGTGGGTGAAAAAGACCGCTCCGGGAGTGAAGCTGTGAAATCCCTCTGATGACACCTCTCCCATCATTTAAAAAATTTTTAAAAATAAAATAAAAAAAACTAAGAACATAACAACTTGATATTCTGTGCTTGAGATTTCTTTTCAAGCATTATAAGAGAAGCGTAGTGAATTGTCTGGATTTTACAGTTCCACCTTGGAACACAGAAAGCAGTTTTGGGGGATTAAAGTTGTCCTTTGATCACAAGTTTGGATCTGGGGTTCCTGAACAATTCTAATAATGCCCTTCAGAAGAGTGTAGAGGTAGCATGACTTGTAGCAGAGAAATAGAAAGGGGAGTTAACATTTCCCATCTTTTCCTCTTTCTCTCTTACAAACATGCAACTGCAACCCTAGTTTACGGCCAAGCACTTATGTAAAAGAAAGTGTATAAGGAAGCTGATGGGTGGAGACAGGTTAAGCATCCTTCCTACATGTCATTTCTGTGGTATAAAATACCCAAGTCTGTTTTTACTATTTTGTAGTTGTTCTGCAGCAACTCAGATCTGATGGCAAATGCCTAGTTATGGTTCTCAGGTATGGGGAATGAATATCCAGATGGTTTGTACCCTGCAAATAATTGCACCGTAGGTAAATTTGAATGACTAGAAGGGTAGCTTTCTTCATGTATCTCGTAGACAAATCGTCTGTTTTAAAATGTCGGTTTTATTGTACGAAAATGATTGAGTGGCAATATAAAAATGTATGGTACAACCACTTTCAGACAGCTCAGCTAAACCACTGTAATTACTCACAAGTTTTCGTTGCTTTCATTTTTTTAGAGGTAAAGTTGTACATGAGCAGTAAAAGAAAGGTATCCATGGTGTTTAAGAGGCCAGCAGTGTGTAGCGATGGACAGCTAGTGAAGTGAGCAGATTGAAAGCACAATAATGCAACAAGGAGGTGCTGAACAATTCCTGATTTCGGAGCAGGCCTGGAAAACAGGAGATTTAACAGGCCCCTAGAAGACAACCAGACATGGTCAATGTGTTTCATCTGGCTTAATGTAGCAAGGGATATATGGCTCAGGTCTTAGATGGTATGGATGCAATATCTTTCCCACAAGACGGAGGACCATTTATACAGTGGAAGGACTATCTGAACTGTTTCTAAAAAGATGAAACTCTCAGCCTATATACTTGGAAGGCTGACGTAAATCCTACTAAAGCAATGAATCTTGCTGCAGATTAAGTTTGATTAAGTCTTACTGATTTAAGAGGCACTCAGCCAAAACTCAAAGGTAGCATTTAAACCAGGACTTGTTTCTGTGTTTGGAAGAGATTGCATATCCTAGCATAGCTCATCATCATAGAGTAATAAGTAAGTAATATCTAAAAAATAAAAAAATACATCACCCAATCATCATCCTAGTTGTATATGTATCATTTTAGCAAGATGGATACATATAAACTTCAATTTTGCATGTTTTCCAGACCAGTTCTATGCATTTCTGTAACAGTTGCTTTAGCTGCATGAACTAGCGAATGTAGCATTGAATAGCTTCTCTTTATCTTTCCAAATAATTAAGCAGACTCCTGCAAGTGTTCAAATAGTTTCACAAAAGGGAAAAGGAATTTGCTTTTTGCTGAGGCATTTTGTGCAAAATAGGGGAAACACAACAGGAAAATTTGCTTGGTCTCCCTCTGGAGGTGAGA